TTAGGGCATGCTTGTTTATCAATTATTTCGCTTCATATTCATACTCAAAATTTAACTCAACTTTAACTTAACTCCACTATCTTTAATATTAATCATATAATTAAATAATACAAACCAATCATTCTTACATATCACATCAACTTTAATTCATTATTCAACCATTCACAAATTTTAACTACCTATCATTTCTAATCATTTATCTCTTACTTTTTTATCAAATCAATTTTAATTATTTTATTTTAAATATTATTTTAATACAATATTAAAATATCACTAACAACTAATTATACCACATTTTTCAAAATTAACTCTGATTAAATAACTCATTGTGGATGAATTATTTTGTACACAAGCGAGGCCTTAACATATATATTGTGGTCAAATGTACATATTTGACCACTAATTAAGAATAAAATTGTCATTACACAAACCACACACCATACATGGCAATGCCAACTCTTACTGTGGAGCAAGGAAGTAGTTATTTCTAAAATTATGTGTCATGACTTTTGTATGGAGGTGGAATTTACTTCGGACCAGTTTAGTAAGCCTTCATGGCTTATCATGGTTTACTTGAGTACAAATAGGATTATTAGCGAAAATCAGTGAGCTATTTAAAAGTATGCAATCCAAGTGGGGGAATTACTGGTTGTGGGAAGCGGATTGGAATGACTTATGTCATATGGATGAAAAGGAGGGAGGGAGATTAAGAACCCATCAGAGCTTTGTGGGCTTTAACTCCTTCATTTAGATAGGGGAATGCATGAAGTTAGCTGGGAAGGTTACAATTTTACTTGGGCCAATAACAAGGAGCATGAAGAGTTTTGGTACGTAAAGCCCTCTGACCGGCAGAAAATTGGTTCGTTTACGCCTTTCTTGTCGGTAGAACGCCTTCTACCTGCAAAACTCTCACACCGAAGGGGTTTTCCATTGAAGAGTCTCTGATGATTTAATGAGTATGTGTAAAAATTGAATGCTCAAAGAGTATAATGTTAATGAACGTGATAGATAAAATCATTTATCTCACCCCTATATATAAGGGTGAAGTACCTGCTTCTAGAAGGCTTCCTGGATGAGCTGAGTTGATTGCCCTAGCTGCCCCAAGCTGACTAAGTTGCCTGGTCATACAACACAAACTCGAGGTAAGTCAGAGACAGTTATAGGTGTAGACAAATCAGGTCATGCCATATGTCGAAACCGCGTGCGAATTTGAGTCCCCTGATCTCCTCGAAGGCTCAACCAACTATAGGTCAATTTGCGGTAAAGCACTGACTCCTCCAGGTTGGAGTCTTGGTCGTTCAGACGACCATCTGCTGTTGTAGTTCGAGTTTGATGATGACACTCTATTGTTTTGCAAGGTAGATAGCAACCAGGCCTTCCAGCTAATGGATATCCTTGCTAAGTATTAATCCTTCTCAGGTCAGCAGGTTAACTGGAAAAATCAACATTTTATTTCAGTTAAAACACCCCACACTAGATGAAAAATAGTATATACTTCATTCTTAATATCATCATTGAGCACATCTCCACAAAATACTTGGGATTGACTTTGGGAATAGGTAAGTCCAAAGTTCAAGACTTCTCCTTTGTCATTGAATCAGTTAGAGGTAAGATTCTTAACTGGAAAAATAATTTTCTTTCTTGAGTTGGCAAGGAAGTGCTGATCAAAGCCATTCCGAATGCTTTGCCAATTTTTGTGTGCTTTAAATTACCTGTCTCTTTCTGTAAGGAAGTGTCCAGGTTATGTGCACATTTCTGGTGGGATAAAGGGGGTGAGCAGTCTGGAGGGATTCTTGGATGTCTTGGTATAATGTAGCTATGCCTAAGGAGTTGGGTGGATGAGGGTTTCTGGACATTCAGCTATTCAATGATGCTATGATCATGAAGCAACTCTGGAGGTTGGTTACTAGCCCTTATCTTTTGGTTTACAGAGTGTTGAAATTCAGGTACTTCACCTCTACTTATTTCTTTGATGCAAAAAGGAAAGTGTGGTTCATGGTTATAGAACTCTTGGATGGATGTCAAACAAAAATTTGACCAAAGATTGTAGAAAGATCTCCTCAGTGGCAAAAGCACTAGAATTTTGGGCTATCCTTGGATTAAATCCCTTGGACTTCAGAGAGTTTCATTTAGGGAGAAGGTTCATTCTTCTTGCACCATGGCTATGAGTTACTCCTGGATGATGGCAAAAGCTGTAATTCTGATATTATTCACCAAATGTTTGATAGTGAAATAGTTGAAGCTATTTTGGGCATAAACAATTTGAGCCCTGACTTAGAGGATGGTTGGTTGTGGCACAACTCAAAAAAAGGCATTTTTTTGTAACCTCTGCTTACTCTCATCTGATCCTAGGAAAAATTCTTGAGCTTGATAGGCCTGAAGAAAGTTCATCAAGGTTAAGGGATATGATGACCAGAGCAAAGACTTGGAAATTAAAAAATAAAAGTAAAATAAAGCACTTCATCTAGAAGCACTTTTCAGGTACCTTGTCTGTGAGCACCAATCTGATTAAAACAGAACTTAAGACCATACATGTCATGTTTGTGGGGGAAGACATGTCCTATGGCACTGTAGCAAGACACAAAGGGTCTGGAGTGTTGCACCGTTGACCTGGGATTGCTTCTCAACACCTACATGTACATTTTCATATTAGTGGTAGCAGCTCTGCTCCATGAGTTCCAAGGTGATTGATGAAGATGGAATCCAGCTCTCGACCTATTTGTTGTGGTGATTGTAGAAATCCCACATGTGGGTGTTCCAAAAGCATAGGCTCCCTGAGCAAAGCCTCATAAGGCACAGTTTAAGGGAGGGGCAAGAGTTTTGAGTTGTTTGATGCACAGGCTGCTTAAGAGTTAATCTAGGTCATTTGACAATTTATTATCTCTTCATTAGTCTTATGTCCTTCTTGTGTTAGTTTTAGCTGAGGGCTTCACAACCTTGTGTTGCCTTTAGCTTCATTGAATTTTTTAAACCTCGCCTGCATGTTCATTTGGTTCTACTTGTATTATATTTAGATTATTGTATCCCCGTTTTCTAATTTTAGGAGTATCCTATCATTTTGTCAAAAAAAAAAAAAAAAAAA